TTTCATTAGCAATTGGATGTCTGTGAATAACGTAGACCCAGGAAAGGCTGGGGTGTGGGGAGGTGGGTGAACTGGAGGCTGAATCAACTCAGAGATTTCAGGGAGGGATTATGTTGGCTTTACATATTTATAACCCCTGAAGCTTTTATGTTTTTGTGTGTGTGTCAGTCCTTCAACCTAAACTCAGCGTCTTGGTGCTGTTTCTTTGGTGCTCAGAGCTACCACTACAGCATTTGAACCATAGGTGCAATTCTGGCCTTTTAAAAATTAATGTCCTTAGACTTTTACTGACTAATGTCTGATCAGACTGTGCACCTGAGATCTCATGCTCCTGATTAGCTAGGATTAGAGGCATGTGCACTGTCACATTTACCTTGGACCAATGCATATAAGTCTCTTAGCAGAATTTTCACTGAACCGTATCTTACATATTTATGTGTCAGATTCCATTCCCATCTGGGAATGAGCCCATCCCATATGTGTCCTGTGTGGGCAGAAAAGGAGAAGCTGAGAGGTGACTTCCTCCTGTCCTCCCATAGGTACAGATTACCGGGCAGTAACTCTGAGGAAGATGAACAAATAAAGAAGTAAGTGGACTGTGGCACAAAGAAAAGGCCCCTTCATTCAAAATGGTATCTTTGAGGCTTCTGATTCAAAGTGCAGATTTCTCATTTGCACATCATTGTGCTTTCCACTAGGGGCAGAGGGTTGGGGTTGGAGTGGTGGCAGAGGACACAGCTGTGGTGTGGTTGTGGACTCTCAGGGATGACAGGGAGGGCTGTGTGTTCAAAATCAGTTCCTTCTTGTGACCTATCACAGTGAGAATATTGTAGAATTATCTTTCAGAAGCTTCTAGACGTGGGTGGTGAAGATCATTCTGCCTGCAGGAGTCTCCTCCTGCTTCCCAGCATGCAAGTGTGCATATAGCAGCCTTGCAGAAAGGGGCTATGGGAGGCCCAGGATAGGGAGGGCAGACACTCACTCTTCTTGTCACCAATCTGCCCACAGCACCCTTTGTTCCATCTTCACCATGTGGATGGACTGCTATCCTGCTGATTTCCGAGAGCCCCAGAACCGACACCCGGTGAAAGAACTTACCCACTATGCCATGCTCCACATGCCCTCCTCAGATCTGGTCCTCAATCTCCACGTTCATCTGGATGAGCTGGAGGAGAGCAGCAAGAATGAGACCAAGAAACAGAGGAAGAAGTCCCTGTGTGGTCACCTCAGAGCTTGTGAGTAGGGATGGTGCCTGGGCCTCTAGGGATGAGCCTAATTGCCTGAGAGCCCTTATTACCCCCCAGGTTGTAAGAATGTCTTTTTATGGTACTATGTGCCAGGCAGTGTTGGTTCTATTGGTGAAAGCACTTGTGCTTAACCACTCTTGGGAAAGACCTTACCTTCTCATCAGTGATCAGTCCAAAGTAAACTTGTACAGCTTCCTCCATTAGAGCCTCATGGAAATTGAACTCCACCTGAACATCCAGAATCCATTCTCAAACTCCTTTACCTATTTCTGTTTCTCAGGTTTTGGCCACCATAGAGCAGCTTCTCCTGACCCCCCAAGAAAGAAGCCCTCGGTGATGTCAAGGATGTTGATGGATGGGGATCTGGAGCCCTCACTGGACTACACAATGCATGTGCATGTAGAGGGGTTGAATGCATTTGCAGTGAGGCCCCAAAAGGTTGTGAGTCCTGTGGATAAGACAGTGGTTCTGAAGCCCACATGTAACAGAGCTGAACTTGTAGGGACCCCAAAGAAAGAAGAAGGTAATAGTGATTGTCTTCCTGTGACTTTCACAGGCAGCCCAGATCAGCTCAAAAAGGGTCAAATCAGCACGCCTCCTGGCGTGCTGGAGGGAGTAGCACACGTGGGGCTGATGGAAAATGTCCCCAGTCTGTGCTCAGGGGAACCAATGAGTGAGGTCCCAACATTAGATGCAGCTCAGGAAAGTGAATCTGTCCTCACTGAACATCTGGACAAATCTGTCCTGCTGCAGCAGAACCAATCTCCAACTGAGAAATTAGAATCTGCCTCTCCAGCCTTTGCTGGAGCAAATCCTCTCTTTCATGAGGAGCTAGATACTTTGGAGGATTCTGAGGCAGAATTTATGTTTGAAGGCAACTTAGAAGCCGACCTAGCCTTAGAGCTTCCCTCCCCTCTCCCTGGGGATATCTCTCTTTTTCTTTTTGTCCTGATTGTTGTAAAATTTGCATTCTTTTTATTCTTCTAAATTTATTAAAGATATATGTTTATGTTGTAAAATTTATGGATGTTGAATACTCTGGCTTTTTTTACGTGTACAATCTGATGTCCCAGACACATGGTTCCTGAGTAAGGGCAAAAGACAGAGTGACCTGGAGCTGTCCAAGAGCACTTACTGGCTATAGAGGGAAGAGTTCAGTGCACTGTGAGGGCCAAGGAACCCAGCCCATGCCTGCATGAGGTGATCAGGCCACTACTAAAGCTCTAGGACATAGCAAACCAGATGTCCTTGAAAGTTGTTCTGTCTATTGAGACAAATGTCAGACTAAATGTAATTTATAGGGGACTTTCTTGTAACAGGGAATTCAAGTGCTTATGCTCACCCATTGTGCTTTGTCCAAATATGTAAGTAAATTTCACCTGAAAATTACATTGAATAGCTCCTTTGGGGGAAAAGTATTTGACAAAATACATAGGCATTAGGTATACTGAAAAGTAAAAGCCATCATCAATAGAAGAAAGAGCACTTACTCAGAGGGACTTACTCAGAGGACATGACAGGTGTCCTGGCTCATCGCAATTATTCTATCTTCCAGACTGCCCTGTCCTTCCTCAGGAAGGAGGTTCAAATCAGCCCCCATAGACAAATATGAAAGACACTTATTCACTGAGTCAGCAAAAGTCAGGAACTTGTAGCATGGCTCAAGTTGTATGTTTAAGCACTGAACAAGGAAATAAGCAAAAGCTCAAGGCCCTGAGTTCAAACTCCACTACTGGTACAAAGGATAATGACATCTAAACCTGAAATGTGTGCAATGGTAGCTTTAATCCAAGGGAAAAGAGATGTATAGAAATGGGAAAATTATATATTAGTTTAAGCAAAAAGGCCAGACTTATACATTAGGTCCAGATATGAAATAGAAAAAAATGAACGAGCTTTACAATGTCGGTGTGGGGCAGGGGAGGGTGGGAAGGATTGGGTGGGGGGAGGGGAGAGGCTGGGAAGGGAAGTGAAGGGTAAACAAAGGAGGAGGCTGCAATGCTTGGTAAGAAATGTATGCATTATGCTGCCCATGTAATTGTAACCCCTCTGTACAGTATGTTCTCAAATAAAAGAAAAGAAAAGAAAAAGAAAAAAATGAAGTTTACCTTCACACATCAACTCCTGGCCATCAATTTTGTCAAATAGGCACAATGCTGGGTTTGAATGATTCATTGCTCTCCATACTAGAAAGTTATAATCTCTAATTAACCCTCAAAAAGAAAGAACTGGGGTCAGGCTCAAGTGGCAGAGCACCAGCCAAGAGCAGGAACAAGTGAAGTGAGAGCAGGAAATTCATGACCCACTACCTGCATAAGAAAACAGCAAAGAAGCCTGCAGACATCAGCTGCTATGCTAAGGCTGAGTCTTTTCTCTCTGGGGATCAGGACATGTAGTATTTTTCTATCTCTACTTACTTCAACCTGAACACTAAAATGAGTCACTAAGATGAGCCTCTGTTGAGACTTTGTGTAACTCTCTTTTGTGAAACACCCTAGAATGTTAATCCCATGTGTCTCATGGACCAGTGATGTTTGGCTCAATGGGTAGATGCTAGCCTTGAGCAGAAAAGCTCAGCAATAATGCTAAGGCACTGAGTTAAAGACCCAGTGCCGACATGCCAAAGAACCTATGCAGTTTACACACATTTCTCAATGGCTTAATGAGTTTTCCATATGTTTAAAGGTAGGGCTTATTTCTTTTTAGTTAAATGAGATAATTCCTAGTCGTATATTCCAAGTTTCATGGTTCCATTCTGCCTTTTTTTTTCTTCAAAAATGCTCTGGAGATAAGGACCATTTCGAATATATTTGTTAAAGCAAAGCAGATTTTTTTCTTCATGAATGAAAGCATTTGATATTTATGCAAATGATTTAGTTGTGGGTGGTCCATGTGTGCATTATTGAAACCATATACAGCTATACTTGAAAAGATGATGCAGCTGACCATGGAGATGGTATGGAGATATTATTGGCTTTACTGTAGAATAACCCATTGGTGAGTGGGGGTGTGGCTGTTCATGTTCTATGGGAGCATGTGGAATGATTTATAAAACACCAAATAGATTCCAGGTAGCCAAATGCGGATCAGGATGATGTGGTACTATGTAGTGAATTGTGAAAGAATAGGAAAAACCTCTTAGATATCCAGATACATTTTCTGAATGGAGTTATGCGGGATTTCTCTGTTTGTCTGTCTGTCCCTCTGTTTGGTCGTGGAGCTTTAACTCATGTGGGCACTGTCTCTGAGCTCTTTTTTCCCAAGGCTAATGCTCTTCTACTTTGAGTCACAGCTCCCCTTCCAATTTTCTGGTGCCCTGTGTCCTGTGTCACTAGATGAAATAAACTGGTGTCTAAGGCCTTCCAGAGGGCTTTGTGTTCCTAGGGCTGTGCGAGGAGAGGGTGGGGCCTCTCCACCCCGCCCCTAGCCCCGCCCCTAACCCCGCCCCTACCCGCCCCGCGGAGAGGAGCTGGGGAGGACGCGCTCCCTAGTGGCCCAGCCGAGCCACAGCCCCGCCCCTCCCCGACCAGCCTGAAGCCCCGCCCCTCCCGCCCCTCCCGCCCCCGAAGCCGCGTCTGCTCCTCTCGCGACGCCGACGGCGCCGGGCTCCCTGGGGTCCCGCGGCCCTTATAGTTCCGGTTGTGGCGCCCAGGCGGAAAGTTGAAGCGGACGGACTGTGGCCGGCGATGGGCGTGGGGTGAGTGCAGGAGGCGGCGGCAGCGGCGGCCTGAGGGTCGCGTTCAGTCGGTTGTGGGGACACAGGCGAAGGGTGAGGTGAGAAGAGCCGCGCAGGCCCCGCGCCCGGCCATTGCGGCCTCCCCGCGCCGGCTCTGGGGCGCCATTCCCGGGGTCCCTGCGCTCCGCGACCCGGGACTGCCGAGCGCTGTGTGAACAGCCCCATTTCGCCCCGTTTGGGGCCCCTCTCTCCCCGCTTTCCTCAGGAGGGACTTCCAGGTCTTTTCACTGATTTTAGAGGTTGGTTGTCGGTTGTGGGGGGGCACCTCCCGTCGCCGTCAGTATGGAAGCACATTTGCAGCCAGACGTCTGCCCGGGAGAAGGCTGACAGGTGGCTGCGGCCTCCGCGGCGGCTGGGAGACTCAGGCGAGGCCCACGCTTTGAGGCTCGCCCCCTGAGGGGTTTTGTTTGGTTCTAGCGCTGGTTCTGGGGCCTTGAACTCAGGGCCTGAGCCCGTCCCTGAGCTCAAGGCTAGCGCCCTACCACTGGAGCCACACTTGAACATCCCGTTTATTTGGTAGGTTAGTGGAGATTAAAAAAAAAGAAAGTCTCAAGGACTAGGCTTCCTGGCAGGGCTGGCTTCGACCCACCATCTTCAGCTCTCAGCCTCCTGTTGATGACCGGCGTGAGCCGCTGATGCGGGCCTTAGCTGGACGGTGTTCTGTAGAGCTGCTGAGACGCTTCAATCACTTTTCTTCAAGCATCCATCCAACACCGTGTTCTGTCTCACACACAGAGAACATGACTGAAGAGCGAAGCAGCGGCGCTGCTACGGCATTTTTAACAGGGTTATGTTGCACAAACAACTTTAATAGGCAGAGATGAGGGAGACAAATTTAAATTTGTCTATCAAAATTGTTAAACATTTGGAACTTCTCAGGAGTGAATTTTTTTCTGGTTAGTCTATTAATGTGGAAATCTGAACTATTTGAAACATCTATGTCTATTATGAGGTTTAAAAAAAAAACGCTTTTGCTGTTTAACCTGTGTTCCTAACCCCCTGTTTAAAACATTGTTTTCAGTCACGTTTAATTCTAGTTACTTAGCAAGCTGAGACCTAGAGGATCACATCTCATATCCAACCCAGATGGAATCCTAGAGACTCCCATCTTAGTACTGGCACACTCACAAAATTTTAAAAAAATTCTATGCACAAAAATAAAGAAATAACAAATACAGAGACCCACTAATGTGGATACTACTTGTTGATCCTCTGTTAAGAAACTATAGTGTGCCGGGCACCAGTAGCTCAAGCCTATAATCCTAGCTACTTAGGAGGCTGAGATCTGAAGAGTTAAAAGCAGTTAAAAGCCAGCCCAGGAGCCTGGCGCCGGTGGCTCACACTTGTAATCCTAACTACTCAGGAGGCTGAGATCTCATGATCAAGGTTCAAAGCTAGCCCAGGCAGGAAAGTCTGTGAGACTCATCTCCAATGAAGTACCAGAAAACCAGAAGAGTGGCTATGGCTCCAAGTGGTAGAACTCTAGGCTTGAGTGAAAAAGCTCAGGGACAGCGCCAGGCCCTGAGTTAAAGCTCTACAATGGAAAGGAAAGGAAAGAAGGGGAAAGGGAAGGAAAGGAGAGAGAAACTGTAGTCTGTTGACACAATGAAATAGCATGTAGTTACAAGTAAATGACCCAGCTTAAAAAAAAATACATAACTAAGGAAAGTGGGTTACAGGACTATATGTGTATACTTTGTACAACTTCATAGTCACATTGCTTGTGTCATATACAATTGTGGAAGACTTTAGGTAGATGTAAAAACATTATACAAGGGTAATGTTCACTGTTTGTTTTTTGGAATTCATTTCAAAATGTCTAACAATAGCCAGACTGCTTGCTGGTACAATGCCCAAGCACGGATGTGTGAAATTCTAAAATTCAAATTATAAGGGAGCTGTTGTAAACTTAGTACATAGTGGTTCACAGGAGCCAAATTACATTTTATTTATATATTTATTTAATTTTACTTTGGGGCTGCTATTGGGGCTTGTATTCAGGGCTTCATGCTTTCCCTCAACTTGCTGGTTCATGACTGATGAGCAGACTGGCTCCAAAATGAAAGCCTCTGACCTTAGCTTCCTGAGTATCTAGTATTACAGGCCACCAGCATTAAGCTATAGTGTGTGTGTGTGTGTGTGTGTGTGTGTGTGTGTGTGTGTGTTTGTGCGTGCGCGCGCTCGCGCGTGCGCCCGTGGGAGCAAGCACGTGCATGTGTGCGCGTGCATGTGTGCACGTGCGTTCATGCACCCCAGTATTGAGACTTAAACTCAGGGCCTGGGTGCTGATCCTTAGCTCCCCTTCTACCCCCGCCTCCCACTCAAAGCTAGTACTCTACCACCTGAGCCACAGCTCCACTTGAGCCACAGCTCCACTTCTTGCTTTTTGGTAGTTAAATGGAGATAAAAGTCTCACAGACTTTCCTGTCTGAGATGGCTTCAAACCATGATCCCCAGATCTCAGCCTCCTGAGTAGCTAGGATTACAGTTGTGAACCACGAGTGTGTATATGTGTGTGTGTGTGTGTGTGTGTATCTCTCTCTTCCCCCCTCTATATATGTATTTATACATAAATGTATATGTGTAAGTATATGTATATTATATAAATAAATACATATTTTATATAACAATTGAAAGTTGGAAGTAAGGCCTACCTTTAATGCTTTTTCCCACTGGTAATAAGGTAGCCCTTGATTCACAGGTGTAGATAGTGTGTTTTGAGCGTGTCTGGGAGTGGTCTTCCCAGTGAATTAGGCTGCTGTCTTCTTTCTCCCAGAATTCTCTGCAGATTGACCTATATAGGGGTTATTTTGCCTTATTTCTGGAAAATTGGTTACAGTTATGGTGAAAAGATACTGCTTTCCTTCTGTGACACTTCTGACTTTTTTTTCCCCACAGCATTTCACTATTTGTAGCTTGTTGTCTGCATTCTGACTGGGCTCGCTTGGATTCTGTTCACCATGCCAACAGTGGTGGTGATGGCCGTGTCCCTCTCCATGACTTGGCCTGTGTCAGTCGAGGGGTCTGAGGAATACCAGCGGAAGCACCTTGCAGCCCATGGGTTGACAATGCTGTTTGAGCACATGGCCACAAACTACAAGCTTGAATTCACAGCATTAGTGGTTTTCTCATCGCTTTGGGAGCTGATGGTCCCCTTCACAAGAGATTATAACACCCTGCAGGTACAAAAAGGAATAAAGACCCAAGTTGATTGGAAAGAAAGCAGTATGATAATAGTGTACTGATTTTAGACCTTAGAATTATTTAATAATAAATATACAGGCACTTAATATGCACAGCTATAAAGCATAATTCATAACCAATAGGTCCTAGGCCTTTCTTTTGTAAAGCTATGAGGTAGAGAAAGGGGTCATGGGGGCTGGGAAGGTGTCTGACTGGTAAAGTGCTTGCCTCGCATTCATGAGGCCCTGGGTTCGATTCCTCAGCACTACATAAGCAGAGAAAGGTCATGGTCCATTTTCTGGAATTCTTAGGAAAGGTGAAGATTTCAGCATACCATGCTTCAGTCCCTAAATTCAACATTTTTTGCCATTCTGCTGTTTTCTACTTTCTCATACAATTTTAAGGTAATGAAAAATAGCCCTTATTAAAACACACACAAACACACACAAAAACTTCTTCTAGAAAGTTCAGAATGATGCTTACTCTCCAACAGATAGTATTCATTTATAGATGCCAAGGTATTATTTTTTTTTCTTTTTCTTCTTTTTTTCCATCCTGGGGCTTGAATTCAGGACCTGGGCGTTATCCTTGAAATTTTTGCTCAAGGTTGGCACTCTACCACTTGAGCCATAGCTCCACTTCCAACTTTTTTGCTGGTTGATTGAGATAAGAGTCTCATGGACTTTCCTGCCCAAGGTGGCGTCAAATGTCGTTAGATCTCAGCCTCCTGAGTAGCTAGCATTACAGGTATGAGCTACTAGTACCCAGCTCAATGTTGTCATTTTAAAATCTTAATAGGTATTGTCTTTCAAAGATATTTTTCTGAGATAAGCCAGATGTCTTTATTTTTTTTTCAAATTCTTTATTGTGATTAAGTGATTACATAATTTCCCAAATTTCACTGTATTGCGAGATAGTGATGCTTAGTTAAAATCACAAACACATTCTAATTTCATGGGGCAAATTGTCTGTCGTGATCTATAATATTTATGGGTTCTGTGAGCTAGCCAGATGTCTTTAAACCATTAATATCTCCTATAGTTCTTAGCACAGTGTCTTGGCCAGTGAGTAGACAATAAGTGTTTCTGAAATTAAACTGAGCAATTAAATAATTGTTGGGCAATTTGGAAATGCAGGATTAATGTAGTTTGAATTTTTAGTAATTTTTTGTTGTTGTTGTCAGTCGTGGGCTTTGAACTCTGGGCCTGAGCACTGTCCCTCAGCTCTTCAGCTCAAGGCGAGCGCTCTACCACTTGAGCTACAGTGCTACTTCCGGTTTTCTGGTAGTTTATTGGAGATAGAAGTTTCACGGACTTTCCTGCCCCAGCTGGCTTTGAACCGCAATCCTCAGATCTCAGCCTCCTGAGTAGCTAGGATTGCAGGCATGAGCCACTGGCGCCCGGCTGAATTCTTACTAATTTTTATTAAAGCTTTCCTTTTATTATCTTGCATCTTTATGAGACTTAAATTTTTTTTTAATTGTACTAGTGAACTCTTTTGGTGGTACTGAGTCTTGAATTCAGGACCTCATGCTTGGTAGGTAGATGCTCTACCACATGAGTCCTACTTCCAACCCTTTTTTGTACTGGTTATTTTCAGATGATAGTCTCAGTTTATGCCCTGGATGGTTTGGGCTTTGATCCTTCCACTTGTGCTTCCCCATGTCAGTGGGGATAACAGGTGTGTGCTACCACACCTAGTCTTTGGTTGAAATAGAGTCTTGTGAATTTTCTCCCCAGGCCAGCCTCTTAACAGCAATTTCCCAATCTCTGCCTCTCAAATAGCTAGGATTACGGGCGTAAGCCACCCCACTCTGCTTGTACTGGTTTTCTTATAAGTTATTTAGCTGAAGATTTTTTGGTGTTTAGCAGTTCTAAAATTTAGAGAATTGCAATGTAATGAATGAGGTGTAAGAGGTAAAAGCAGAAGCTCTGGAGTCAGGCCACTTCTTAAAAATTTCCTCATTTAGGGCTGGGAAGGTGGCTCAGTGGTAGAGCGCATGCCTTGCATGCCAGAGGCCCTGGGTTCGATTCCTCAGCACCACATAAGCAAAAAGAAGAAAGCCGGAAGTGGCGCTGTGGCTCAAGTGGTAGAGTGCTAGCCTTGAGCTGAAGAGCTGAGGGACAACGTCCAGGCCCAGAGTTCAGGCCCCATGACCGGACCCAAAAAAAAAAAAAAAAATCCTCATTTAAAAGTAGGGTGAACAATGGTAGGATGATTAAATCCGTGTAAAGTGCACAGAATGGTGTTTAGGAGATTATGGTTAATAGTCCATACATTTTGGTCATTGCTTTAAGCTTATTTCATTGTCCTTTACAGTAGAGGAAGTCTGTTTTGCTGTGTTTGTGTGTGTGTGTGTGTGTTTTCTGGAATCTATGCCTTGGGGCTTACAGAAACTCAGTGTTCGCTGTATGATACTCAGACTTCGTACAGTTTATATTGGTTTCTAATAACAAAACAGCAGAGAATAATGAGCAATTTTTTTCTCGCCAAATAAGGAAGCACTGAGTAACATGGACGATTACGACAAGACATGCCTAGAGTCCGCACTGGTTGGTGTCTGTAACATTGTTCAGCAAGAATGGGGCGGTCCGATCCCTTGCCAGGTAATGCTTAGTTTTTTTCAATGTCCTTAGTTAATATCATTAACGAGCCAGGCACTAGTGGCTCATACCTGTAACCCTAGCTACTAAGGAGGCTGAAATTCAAGGATTGCTGGTCAAAGCCAGCCCAGGCAGCAAAGTATATGAGACTCTTATCTCCAATTAACCAAAAAAGAAAAAAAAAAAAAAGTAGAGTTATGACTCAAGTGGTAGAGTGCTAGCCTTGAGCAAAAAAAGCTCAGGGACAATGCACAGGGTCTGAGTTCAAGCTCCAGGACTGGCAGCAGAAAGAAAAAAGGAAGAGAAAATATAGACCCCCCCAAACTGGCCTGTAAATCTTAGGTATTCAAGAGGCTGAGATCTGAGGATCTCAATTTGAAGCTAGCTGAGGCTAGCAAGTCCGTGAGACACGTCTCCAGTTAAGTAGCAAAAAGCCGATGTGGAGCTGTGGCTCAAGTGATGGAGCACTGGCCTTGAATGAAAAAGCTAAAAAAGGGCTAGGAATGTGGTTTAGTGGTAGAGTGCTTGCCTAGCATGCATGAAGCCCTGGGGATGATTCCTCAATACCACATCAACAGAAAAAGCCAGAAGTGGTGCTGTGGCTCAAGTGGTAGAGCGCTAGCCTTGAGCACAGAGAGACTCAGAGACAACACCTAGACCCTGAGGTTAAGCTACTAGGAGTGCATGTACACATGCATGAGGACATGTGCAAAACATACAAATCATTAACCACTGTAGTGTTGATTTTCCTCAGGCTCTAACCGCCTACGTTATAACTCCACAAACTACATTTTACACTATTTGTACAGGTTTTAAAGAAGGCATTAAATCACTGTAATTGTATCACACCAATTTAAGTCATACTAATGTGTTCAGAAAGCAGACCTATGCCTCGAGGGAAGTATTTTCCTGGTAAATTGATGTACTGAAAATTTATATTGTTTCTATAAAGACAAAGGGCTCACAGTAGAATTTATAACTATTCACTGAAGGACGGATCATAATTTTGTGTGGTAGAATTGTAAACATGGAACAATAGTGTCTGTTCTTCATTATCTCAATGTAGCAGTTATTCAGCAAATTTCTAACCATCTCAACTGAGTTGTCTAAAAAGTGAAGAGAATCATAAAGACTTGCTCTTGTGGGACACCAGTGGCTCACACCTGTAATCCTAGCTACTCAGAAGACTAGGATTTGAGGATCTCCATTCAAAGCCAACCCAGGCAGGAAAGAGGAAACTCTCATCTCCAGTTAAACACTAAAAAGTTGGTAGTAGAGTTGTGGGCCAAATGGGAGAGTGCTAGCCTTGAGCAGGAAAAGCTAAGGGACAGTACCCAGGCCCTGAGTTCAAGCTCTAGTACCTGCATTTTTGTTTTAAATGCACAAATTCAAAATACATGGTTTGGTCTTGTCTATGAGGAGAGCAGAGAGAGAGAGAAAGAACGGTGGACAAAAACAGTCATAATATTCAATGTACATATTGAAACTGGGACTAGAAAACTTCAGATGGATAAGTTTGGAGTACATGGAAAAATGATAGAAAGGTTGACACTGATCAAAGTGTATTCTACATATCAGTTGACGTTGAATTAAAACCCTGTGGTATAACTAGTTAAAGATAATTTTAGCCGGGGCAGTGGCTCCCATGTATAATATAATCCAAGTAACTTAGAAGGCTGAGATCTGAGGATCCAGGTTCAAAGTCAGCCCAGCAAGAAAGTCTATGAGGCTCTTATCTCTAATTAACCATCAGAAAACCAGAAGTGCAATTGTGACTCAAAGTGGTAGAGTGTGAGCCTTGAGCAAAAAGAGCTCAGGGATAGCACCCAGGCCCTGAGTTCAAGTACCATGACTGCCAAGAGAAAAAAAAGACAGTTAAAAAAAATAAGCCAGGCATCAGGGGCTCATGCTTGTAATCCTACCTACTCAAGAGGCAGAGATCTGAAGAGCATGGTTTGATGCTAGCCTGGGCAGGAAAGTCTGTGAGACTTTTATCTCCAGCTAACCAGTAAAAAGGCAAAAGTAGAGGTGTGGCTCTAGTGGAAGAACACCAGTCTTGAGCAAAATAGTTCACAAATAGAGCCCAGGCCCTGAGTTCCAGCCCCAAGACTGGCACATAAACAAACAAATAAATCACACAGTTTGCTAGATTTTCACAAATGGAAGCATGTATGTATATCTTTACTACAATTAAGACCTAGAACATACCCATCACCCCACAAAGCTCCCTGCACATTCCTGTAGCAGTGAAAGCAAACCTGGGTGGAGCTGTTGGGCATGTGGCTTAATGGATACTTGTCCTCTGCACACAGGTCGTTCTGGTGACGGACGGCTGTCTCGACATTGGTAGAGGGTCCCTGCGACATTCCCTAGCGACACACAATCAAAGGAGCGACAGCAACAGGTTCCCGCTGCCTTTCCCTTTCCCGTCTAAGTTATACATCATGTGCATGGCAAACCTGGAAGAGGTAATACCTTCTGCTAACTGCCTTTTAGATGGGTTAGGTGAATCCCAGGGCTTTGTTTATTTGTCAGTGTATTGAATGAACACTCTTGCGTACCGTATAACATTTAGATTTGAAAAGACTTGATTTCACATGCTCTTTGACATAACAACACTCACCTCTCCGAGAGTATAGCTGGAGATGCCCATTCTGCTGATGACCATGAAGGGTTGAGATGTTCTCTTTTTTCTGTCCATTCCTCCAGAAATGTTGACAGAGGTATACTTTAGTTTTTTTTTTGTTTTGCGGGGGTGGGCTTTTTTTTTTTTTTTTTTTTTTTAAATTTTATTTTATTTTATTTGAGAACATACTGTACAGAGGGGTTACAATTACATGGGCAGGATAATGCATACATTTCTTGCCAAGCATTGCAGCCTCCTCCTTTGTTTACCCTTCACCTCCCTTCCCAGCCTCCCCCCTCCCTCCCACCCAATCATACCCCGCCCCCCCCCACCGACATTGTAAAGCTGGTTTTGACATGACATTTTGTACTTCTCATTGTTGCCACAGGTCCACCTGAATCCTTAAAGGACTTGTTTGTCCCCATCTCCTCCACATGTTATACTGACATCAAATATAGTGAAAGCGGGGATTACACTGTGGGGGAGGGACATACAAAGCAACAAAGAAATAATCTTATAAATGCGTTAGAAATACATGCATGAAAGAAACAAAAACATTAAAATACATATTTGAGGTTTAGTTTTCCTAACATCACATTATCTGACTTTTTCCGCTTGACTCATACCTATACTAGATATTGCAAATAAGGGAAACCATGGGACCTATGTTTCTTTGGGCCTGGCTTACTTCACTTAATATAATTTTTTCCAAGCCTTTCCATTTCCTAACAAATGGGGAAATGTCATTCTTTCTGATGGAGGCATAGAATTCCATTGTGTATATATACCACATCTTCTTGATCCATTCATCTACTGAGGGGCATCTGGGTTGGTTCCATGTCTTAGCTATGGTAAATAATGCTGCAATAAACATAGTTGTGCTGGTAGCTTTAGTGTGGCCTTGTTTGTGATCATTTGGGTAAATGCCCAAAAGTGGGATTGCTGGGTCATTGGGGAGCTCTATGTGGAGTCTTTTGAGGAACCTCCATACTGCTTTCCAAAGTGGTTGAACAAGTTTACATTGGGTGGGCTTTTTTTGGAAGGGGGAACATAGGTCTTTTTGTTTGTTTGTTGTAGTGCAGGGATTGGGGCTTAAAATCAAAGCCTGGATGCTGTCCCTGAGCTTTTTGCTCAAGACTAGCACTCTACCATTTTGAGCCACAGCTCCACTTCTGGCTTTTTTGGTAGTTTAGTGGAGCTGAAGATCTCACAGATTTTACTACTCAGGCTTGGCTTCAAACTGCCATCCTCAGCTCTCAACCTCCTGAGTAGCTAGGATTACAGGCATGAGCCACCAGCACCTGGCTTCTGATGTGTTTTATTAAATACTTCCTGCTTTTCCCATTGAGTCAGGAATTATTTCACTCTACCTCAGTTTTTCTCTCTCTAAAATGCTGATAATTGATGGCTCTTGCCAAACCATGTCAGGAAGAGGTTGTAGGGAAGATGCTGTATGGCTACTAACTGTGGTCTCCTGAGAATCTGCAGAACTACTTATGAATGAAGTACCTCTTGTAACCTTGAGGCAGATTGCAATAGTTGAGGTAAGAAAGTCCATGAGACTCAGTATCTCCACTAAATTACAAAAAAATCTGGAAGTGGAGTTGTGGCTCAAGTGGTAGAGTGCTAGCCTTGAGCAAAAAGCTCAAGGACAGCACCTAGGCTCTGGAATTGAGCCCAGGAACTGGCACACACACAGAACAATTGTTGTGTTACTTCCTTCTTTATTTGTATTTTTTTTTTGGGGGGGGGGTCCGGTCGTGGGGCCTAAACTCTGGGCCTGGGCACTGACCCTCAGCTCTTCAGCTCAAGGCTAGCGCTCTACCACTTGAGCCACAGCACCACTTCTGGCTTTTTTCTTTTTGCTTATGTGGTGCTGAGGAATTGAACCCAGGGCCTCATGCATGCAAGGCAAGCGCTCTACCACTGAGCCACCTTCCCAGCCCCTGTTGTTACTTCCTTCTGATATTGACTGTTAAGAAAATCATCTCATGGACTCAACACCTGTAATCCTAGCTACTCAGGAGGCTGAGATCTGAAGATCATGGTTCAAAGCCAGCCTGGGCAGGAAAGTCCGTGAGACTCTTATCTACCAAAACTACCCCAAAAACTGGAAGTGGAGCTGTGGCTCCACTTGAGACTTGAGTCTTGAGACTCTTATCTCCAAATAACCACTCAAAAAAACTGGAAGTAGCTCTAGGCTGAAGTGGTAGAGCACTAGCTTTGAATACATAGAGGCTCAGGGACAGCATTCAAGCCCTGAGTTCAACCCCTGCAACTGACAAAAAAAAAAAGTGTAAGGCCTTGAGTTTAAGCCCCAGTACCAGAACCAAAAGAACAAACCAAACAAACCGTTTATTGGCCATTTTGTTACAGTGGCTGTGGCCTTGGTGTGCTGGTAGTGATGTGGTGATTTGTTCTACTTTAAAGGTGTCCTCTCTTGCTTTGTAGCTTCAGAGCACCGATTCCCTGGAATGCCTTGAACGTCTCATAGACCTCAACAACGGTGAAGGGCAAATTTTTACTATTGATGGCCCCCTGTGCTTGAAAAACGTGCAGTCTATGTTTGGGTGAGTATATGCTTTAAAGTTGTTTTTTGAGGGGTGGGGGGTGGGGGCTTCTTGACAATCTGATATTATAATTTGACAACCAAGAAGAACAGTTACTGTATTATTTCTTCAGTCTAACGTTCTCCCAACTGAGCTATTTCGGCAACCTCTCAGTTACTGTATTATTTCTAACAGGTTTTTTTTTTTTTCCACAGTTGCCCGTTTCTCAGGTAAAATAAGGTGGTCATGCTTTAAAAAGACTCAGCTGTTCCCAAGTTTAACTTGCTCTGGGGTTTCTCTCTCAATTGAAATTTCCTCTTTAAAAACATCAAAATGTTTTCCATTTCACAAGTAGATTTAGTTTTGGAATCAGTGCGAAGGTTTAACCAACTTTACATCTTGAAATGTTACTTTCATGTGTACAGTCCTTTTATGTGTACCACATGTGAACTCTTCCTCCCTTAACCAGTCATGATCATCTTCTAGAAAGCTGATAGACCTGGCATATACGCCTTTCCATGCTGTGTTCAAGTGTGGCCACCTGACCGCTGACGTCCAGGTCTTCCCCAGGCCAGAGCCATTCATTGTAGATGAAGAAATCGATCCTATCCCAAAAGTCATTAACACAGGTAATGCATTAAAAATTCCCTCCTGGCCTTCCTCTTTTCTCTGCCCTCTTTTCACTTGTGACTTACTTTCTCCCCATCTAGGAGGGTTGGAAAGAATCTTGTATTCTCACAGGGAGGTGCTATTGTCATCAGCCCTGGATTTTTTTTTTTCTTTTTTGCTGGTCCTGGGGGCTTGAACTCAGGGCCTGGGCATTGTCCCTGAGCCTCATTTGCTCAAGGGTAGTCCTCTAAACCTTGAGCCACAGCACCACTTCACACTTTTTTTGTTTATGGGATACTGAGGAATCAAACCCAGGGCTTCATGCAGTCCCCAGGAGAACCTTTTTAGGTGATTTGTTTATACTGAGATAATGCTTTCTGCATAGATTTCAATCCACTCTATCACAATTACTCATTTGGAAGTGTTCTCATTTCCATCATTTTTTCTGATTCTTTTTCCTACCTTAGTGTGCCAATGAGTCAGGCCTGACCCTGAATGTGCCATGCAATGTATGAAGCCCTGAGGCAGGCCTGCTGGACATGCTGGTGATGAACCTGGTCCCTGCCTACCAGAGAGGCGATCTCTTCTATGTTGGAAACTTCCTCCACAATTATAGACAGTGGGGGGCAATGGAGCAAGTGCTGGCTATTGTGTTCAAAAAGTGAGTGTTCCCCCTTCCTTCGCATCTTGGTCTGTTCAGCCCCACCTTGCTGAGTTGTGGAAAACTTGACACCCCTCTGAACCTGTTGATTTCATGGGGGTCTTCTCACAGGAGCTTGGCATGAGACAAAGAAGTGCACCCCCTGCCAACTTTCTTAGTAGTGGTCTGCCCAGGACATTTCCCAGAAAAGCTACGGGAACCTCAGAAGCTTGCTTACTGAGGGGCTAGGATTACAGGCATGTGCCCATGGCACACGACTTTTGCCCTCCCCTAGGTGAGGTTCTAGGAAATCACATTTCCCATGAGTAAATAAGGTTTCATTACAAATTGGATGTCTGTGATTAATGTAGACCCAGGGAAGGCTGGGGTGTGGGGAAGGCAGGTGAACTGGAGGCTGAATCACAGACATCAGGGAGGGATTATGTTGGCTTTACATATTTATAACCCCTGAAGCTTTTATGATTTTGTGTGTGTGCCAGTCCTGCAACCTGAACTCAGGGCCTGATTTCTGTTTCTTTAGTGCTCAGAGATACCACTACAGCATTTGAACCATAGGTGCTATTCTGGGCTTTTAAAAATTAGTGTCTTTAGACTTTTACTGACTAATGTCTGATCAGACTGTGCACCTGAGATCTCATGCTCCTGATGAGCCAGAATTTGAGGAATTAGCCACTGGCACATTTTCTTTGGACCAAATACATATACCTCTCATAGAAGAATTTTCACTTAACTGTATAGACATATCTCACTTGTTTATGTGTCAGATTCCATTCCCATCTGGGAATGAGCCCATCCCATATGTGTCCTGTGTGGGCAGAAAAGGAGAAGCTGAGAGGTGACTTCCTCCTGTCCTCCCATAGGTACAGATTCCCGGGCGCTAACTCCGAGGAAGATGAACAAGTAAAGAAGTAAGTGGACTGTGGCACAAAGAAAAGGCCCCTTCGTTCAAAATGGTATCTTTGAGGCTTCTGATTCAAAGTGCACATTTCTCATTTGCACACCACTTGTGCTTTCCATTAGGGGCAGAGCCTTGGGATTGGCGTGGTGGCAGAGGACACAATTGTGGTGTGGTTGTGGACTCTCAGGGATAACAGGGAGGGCTGTGTGTACTAAATCAGTTCTTTCTTGTTACCTATCACAGTGAGAATATTGGAGAATTATCTATCAGAAGCTTCTAGACGTGGGTGGTGAAGATCAGCCTGCTTGCAGGAGTCTCCTCCTGCTTCCCACCATGTAAGTGTGCATACAGCAGTCCTTGCAGAAAGGGGCTATGGGAGGCCCAGGATAGGGAGGGCAGGCACTCACTCTTCTTGTCACCAATCTGCCCACAGCAGCCTTTGTTGCATCTTCACCGTGTGGATGGACTGTTATCCTGCTGATTTCCGAGAGCCCCAGAACCGACACCCGGTGAAAGAACTGACCCACTATGCCATGCTCTGCATGCCCTCCTCGGACCTGCTCCTCCACCTCCACATTCTCCTGAATGAGCTGGAGGAGACCAGGAAGAATGAGACCAAGAAACAGAGGAAGAAGTCCCTGTGTGGTCACCTCAGAGCTTGTGAGTAGGGATGGCGCCTGGGCCTCTAGGGATGAGCCTAATTGCCTGAGAGCCCTTATTACCCCCCAGGTTGTAAGAATGTCTTTGTATGATACTCTGGGCCAGGCAGTTTGTTCTATTGGTGAAAGGATTTGAGCTTAGCCACTCTTTGGAAATACCTTGCCTTCTTATCAGTGTTCAGTCCAAAGTAAACTTGTACAGCTTCCTCCATTAGAGCCTCATGGAAATTGAACTTCACCTGAACATCCAGAGACCACTGTCAAACTCCTTTACATATTTCTCTTTCTCAGGCTTTGGCCACCATAGAGCAGCTTCTCCTGACCTCCCAAGAAAGAAGCCCTCGGTGATGTCAGGGATGGTGATGGATGGAGATCTGGAGCCCTCACTGGACTCCACAAAGCATGTGCATGTAGAGGGGTTGGATGCATTTGCAGTGAGGCCCCAACGGGTTGTGAGTCCTGTGGATATGCCACTGGTTCTGAACCCCATATGTGACAGAGCTGCACCTGTAGGGACCCCAAAGAAAGAAGAAGGTAATAGTGATTGTCTTCCTGTGACTTTCACAGGCGGCCCAGATCAGCTCAAAAAGGGTCAAATCAGCACTCCTCCTGGTGTGCTGGAGGGAGTAGCACACGTGTGGATGATGGAAAATGTCCCCAGTGTGTGTTCAGAGGAACCAATGAGTGAGGTCCAAACGTTAGATGCAGCTCAGGAAAGTAAATCTGTCCTCACAGAACATCAGGACAAATCTGTCCTGCTGCAGGAGAGCCAATCTCCAACTGAGAAATTAGAATCTGCCTCTCTCTCAACTCCAGGAACAAATCCTATCTTTCATGAGGAGGTAGATCCCTTGGAGGATTCTGAGGTAGAATTTATGTCTGAAGGCAACTTAGAAGCCGGCCTAGACTTAGAGCTTCCCTCCCCTCTCCCTGGCGATATCTCTCTTTTCTTTTTGTCCTGATTGTTGTAAAATGTTCATTCTTTTTATTCTTCTGAATTCATTAAGATGTATGTTTATGTTGTACAATTTATAGATCCTAAATACTGTGGGTTTTTTAATGTACATTCTGATGTCCCAGACACATGTGTCCTGAGTAAGGGCAAAAGACAGAGTGACCTGGAGCTGTTCAAGAGCACTAACTGGCTATAGAGGGAAGTGTTCAGTGCACTGTGAGGGGCAAGGAACCCAGCCCATGCCTGCATGGGGTGATCAGGCCACTACTAAAGCTCTAGGACATAGCAAACCAGATGTCCTTGAAAGTTGTTCTGTCACACTAAATGTACTAAATGGGGGACTTTCTTCCATTAGTGAAGTCAAGTCAGTACGCACCCCTATTTTGCTCTGGGCAAATATGTAAGAACATTTCACCTCAAAATAACATCAAAAAGCTACTTTGAGGGAAAAGTATTTGACAAAATACATGGGAAATAGGTAAAAGCCAACATCAATAAAAGAAAGAAAACTTAGTCAGAGGGACAAAGACATGCCAGGTGTCCTGGCCCATCTCAATAATTCTAGTTTCAAGAGTGCTCTATACTTCCTCAGGATGGAGCTTCAAATCAGCCCCTGTAGAAAAATCTGAAAGACTTATCCAATGAGCCAGCAAAAGTCAAGAAGTCCTAGCATGGCTGAAGTTACATGTTTTAGAATGGAACAAAAAGTAAGGAAGAGCTCAATGTCCTGAGTTCAAATTCCACTACTGGCACAAAAGATGAAGACATCTAGACATGAAATGTGGGCAATGGTAGCTTTAAACCATGGAACCAGAAAAACATACGAATGGGAAAATTACATATTTAAGTAAAAAGGCCAGACTTACAAACCATTGGTGAGTAGGTGTGGGCCTGTTCATGTTCTATGGGAGGCAGTAGAATGATTTATGAAACTCCAAATAGATTCTAGTTAGCCAAAAGTGGATCAGGATGATGTGGTACTATGTAGTGAATTGTGGAAGAATAGGAAATACATCTTTGATATGCATATTCACTTTCTAATTGGAGTGGTAAGGGATTTCTCAGTCTTCCTGTCTGTTTTCTTGTGTTTATCTTTCTGTCTCTGTTTCTGTCTGTCTCTGTCTCTGTCTGTCTCTGTCTCTGCCTCTGCTTCAGCCTCTGTCTCTGTCTCTCTGTCTCTCTCTCTCTCTGTCTCTCTCTCTCTCTCCCTCTCTCTCTTTCTCTCTCTGTCTCTTCCTC